TGGCCCTTGGTACACAACCAAAGTGGTGCTACACTACCAAAACTGCAAAAGGATGGAGGCAAAATGGGGGGGCAAAATGGAAGAGCACCAGTGGTGCTACCACCCAACATAGAAGCTTTAATAATACCCACTGTTGCAGCTGCAGCACTTGCTCCAGTACACTTTTCAGTAGATTTAGAATCCTTCTCTCTGCACGGAAAACTAGTCGAAGGAGTTCTGGTAGGAGTCCCAACAACCACTCCTCCATCCTCATCATCCTATGCTGTCCTGCTGTAACACACTCCATCACGTATTTCATGTGCCTAACAACTGTTCCTATCATCATCAGGTTACATATTACAAAGCGCTGAAGTACTTTCATGAGAATTATTAGCAACTGCCAGACATTCATGAACTGATTAAGACTAAACGGAAAATAATTCGTATTACGTGTAATACTATGTGTAAGACAACTGAGACAAGTTTTAGCTCCACCACCTGTAATGTTGCTCTCAGTAGCAGAAACCCGTACTTCAGTGCCAGTCCCAGACACAACAACATTGCATGCTGCAATAGCAGTGCCCAGCGCTGTACGAAGGAAACAGCGCGAATGAAAGCCGGTACCATCTGTACCAGTTCCAGGATGGTCTCCTTTATGAACGGACACAACAACCGCAGGAATACTTTCTCCATAACATGGAAACATGGCTGTGTTAGTCGGATAATTTGTGTTAAGAAAAACATCCATCGCAGAAGAGCGAGGATAATGCAACACAAAAGTGTCAGTGTTGCTGGAAGTGCAGTTACCACAGTGTAATTTGCCCACTGGAGGATAATCATCTCCAGGATCACTGATAGTGGTTTCATCAATATAACTACCTGGCCAAGCAAACTTAGTACTTTAAAAAGTACACTCAATATTTTCCAATTATATTCACACAGCAGGATAGTGATTAACCACATGGGTGTCCATTTAAACAGCAACCAAATAGGTGAGGCACAAACCTTGGCCAGAGGTAAAATCCATTCAATTATCTGGTGGATTATTTTCCAAGTTAGTGGCAATAACACCATGATCAAACGTAAGAGAATTATTGGTGTCCTCCAGAGTGCCATCAGAAAAACTACAACAAATACTCTTAGTTGATTTACAATTGTTGATGTTATCCACCAGACTGCTGTGTAAACTAGTGAGGTTACCGAGTGTACCAGGGAGATGGTCACACCAGCTCCCACTAGTATCACGGACGGCAAAATTTTCCACATCACCATCAGGACCAATAACAACTATGCACTAGTTATAACAATAAATGGTCCTTTCTAGAAGCCCTTCGCCTCAAGAGTCTTAAGCTTTTCTTAAAGCTTCATATTTTCATTATGTAGACACATGGAACGAGCGGCCGAACCAACTATAGGAACTTAATGGGCCCCAAATATACTTAAACCAAGGTTGGTTACGGAGCCGACCCCGAGAAAATTCCCCCGGATAATTTTTTATATTGATTTTAAACTTTATTTGTTTAAGTTTTATAATGCCTATCACGACACTGGGAATCTAACAAAAATTTCCCCAAACCAACATAAACCTCCTTAAAAACCGCTGTAAACTTACATAAGAGATTATTACCAAAACATTATATCATTTTTAAGACGTTAGCCTATCAAGAATTGGAGTTATGTAATACTTAGGGGGAAGCTAATTAAACAACTTAATAGTATGAATTAGAAATATTTAACCTTTGAAATTTATTTTATTACAAAGTATATAAATTATCACTATATAGTTATAATGAAATAATGTTAGGTTTAGTTTTTAAAATGTTTTTGTTTAATTTTTTGTGTAGTGTTAAAGTGTTTTGTTTTTTTAAAATGTGTTTGTAGTGTTAAGATGTTTTGTAGGTTTATGATGGTTGTTTTTTTGAAAATTTGTGTTTTGAGTGTTAAAATTTGTAGGAAGATGTGTTATGTTGGAAATGGTTATGTATGTTTAAGTGTGTTGTGTATGTTAATGTGTGGTAGTTTTAAGGTTTTTGTAGTGTTTAAAATTGTTATGTATGTTAATGTGTTGTGAGTGTTAAAGTTTGTGAAATTTTTTAAAATTGTTTGTGTAGTGTTAATGTGTTTGATTTTAAGATGTGTTGTGTAGTGTTAATGTTTTGTGTTTAAGATGTGTTGTGTAGTGTTAAGATGTGTTGTGTAGGGAAAATGGTTGTGTTGTGAAATTGTTATTTTGTTTTAAGATGTGTTTTGTATGTTAAATTTTTTGTGAAGTGTTAAGATGTGTTTTGTATGTAAAATTTTTGTAGTGTTAAGATGTGTTGTGTAGTGTTTGAGATGTGTTTGTATGTTAAGTGTGTTGTTAGTGTTAAATGTTTGTGTGTGTTAAAATTTTTGTGTAGTGAAAAATGTGTTATGTAGTGTTAAGATGTGTTTGTAGTGAGGGTGGTGTGTATTTTAAGATGGGTTTGTTGTTAAGATGTTTGTGTAGTTTGTGTTTTGTAGTGAAGATGTGTTGTTAGTGTTAAAAGGGGGATAAGAGTGTAGTTGGTTTAAAATGTGTTGGTAAGTGTTAAGATGTGTGAGTTTAAAATTTTGTGTATTTAAGATTGTTGTTAGTGTTTTAAAATGTGTTTGTAGGAAAAATGTGTTTTTTATGTTAAGATGTGTTTAGTGAAGTTGTTTGTATGTTAAAAGTGTTGTGTGTGAAAGAGTTTGTAGTGTTAAAATGTGTTTGGGATTTTTAAGATGTGTTGTGTAGTGTTTTAAAAAGTTTGTGTAGTTGAGTGTTAAGTGTTAAGAGTTTTGTAGTGTTTAAAATGGTTTGTAAGGTTAAAGGTGTTGTGTAGGTTAAAGTGTGTTAAATGTTAAAAAGTGTTTGTGTGTTAAAATGTGTTGTGTGGTGAAGTGTTATGTAGTGCTAAATGTGTTTGTAGTGTTAGATGTGTTTGGGGTGTTAAGAAGTGTTGTGATTTAAGATTGTTGGAAATGTTAAATTGTTTTGTATGAAGATGTTTTGTAGTGTTAAATGTGTTGTGTAA